TTTTATAAAAGTTATAAAATAAGTGATGTAAGATATAAACTATACCTAGCTAGTCCAACTTATGCTCAAATTCAATTTAAAGAAAGACTCAGGAACAGACTTATTCTGCCTATTTCCAATATGACAGTCACAAAACTCTCAAAACATTAACTAGCTTTTGGTAAAAGAGAGTATCTCTAGAAAAATGCTCTTTTCCAATGAGGTCACTCTAAATTGATTCCTTCTTTATTTGGTTTCATAATTAATTTCAACTTTGCGCATGGCTGACACAAAAAAAGGAGATAAGGATAAGCCTAAGAGCCCAATTATAAAGTTAAAAATGTACAGTATGTCAAAGTCATAATTCAAATCTTGAAAACTAGAAATAAATCAGGTAGCCTAGTGGTAAGAAGTTGTAGTGCATACTAAAGGCATGTGGTTTTAATGCATCAGCTGCTCCAAGAGACATGGAAGGGAAATCTTCTCCCTTGTCATTTAATGCCTCTGAAAACCTGCTGGAAGACCAGCTATGAGTCAGTTCTGACTCAGAGGTACACAAAGTAACAACCAAGAAAAGCACAAATAAAAATGGAGTTTTGTAAACTAGGGGCCGAGCAGTAAGGAGCTGTACTGCCAACCCAAAGATAAGCAGTTTGAATCCACTAGCTGCTCTGCAAGAGAAAAAGGGTGATCCCCTCCCATGCAATTTACTATCTCTTAAAACCCACTAGACAGCTGTCAGAGGATTACAACTTCATGATGCATAAGGACAATTGCTAAAGAAAACAGATCTTCTAAGATGTTAGCTCCTTACATTTTAGCAGGATGTATTCAAAAGTGTATCTTTAAGTAGAGGACCTCCCCTACTCCTGCCAAAAACAAATAGATAAACATTTTTTAAATGCTTATTCTTAAAATCTTAGAAATCGCCAAAACTTCACTGAGATCCAGTCACAACTGCCTTTTCAAATCAGGTTTACAGAATGTTTGCATCTTACCAAAATGTACTATAAGAAAATACTAATGAATAGATCAATCTAATTTGTAATTAACAGCATGAAATTTTATGCTGTAAAGGAAGTGGTGGAAAGGATTAGGCCTCTTAAGCTTGTTGACCATGTTGTCTAGAGTATTAGATTAGTGACCCCGTCCTTCCTTGTCATTGCTGGTGTGAATTCCAGCACCCAAACACTGATGTTTAATCACTAAGAGAGCTCTGCAGTGAGAAAGCACAAATTAATGACAGTGAATTAATGAGGTTTTACTCTAAAAGTAAAACCCAATACATAGAACAACTCAACTGATGGTGACTAAAATTGTCAGTAAAATAAATTATCTTCAATAAGCTCCTCTTTGCTCACGTCAGCAGTAGTATTTACTAAATGCTCCATTCAAGATCCAAACACGACAGTTTTTTACTGACAGAGTATATCCTTAATCTCTTTTTAAGAAGGATTCATAATCTCATTCAGGAAGAACTTTTATTTACTTAATATTTTACTGGTGCAGTTGGCATGGAGTTGGACTGCTCCCATGGATAAAAGGGCAGCTCCGAGTAGTTTCTAACTCAACAAGAAAGAGATGACCTTCTTGCTTATATGGTTTTAAATTCTTCTCCAGAAGCTTTCTTACTTTATCCACGGTAAGAATATAAGTTGACAATACCCATGGAAAGGCTACTTTTTTGTGCATTCCAATACCTAAAACAACCAAAGTCAAAGTGCAATTGTAATCAACGGAGTATCTGAGAGATTCCCCAAAATTCTTCCCAAGAATCAGCACGTCTACAATCTGCCAAGGTCTCTCAATTCTACCAATCAAGATCACTTTAAGTGAGGGTAAACTGTCCCATTATAACATACTTGAAACAGAGAAATGAGAAAGATGTTAAAAAAGCAACATACCCATTACAATACACAATTTAATTTCTTTGAAGTAATGAACTATCATGCAGTAATGTTCTAGGGCCACAAAGGAGCAAAGGACTGTTTCTTTACCTGAGAAGTTAACAAAAAAAAAAATATTATCTGTTTTGGTATCTGAAGTACACCTTTTGAGGTGACCCAAATGAATGCTTTTCACTTCTACTGTTCTCTCATTTTTATGATTTAGAGAACTGATCAAGGTCTATAATACCACACTGTAACAGAAAGACAAAGTCAGCCTACCTTTACTAAAGCTGCATTCTGGAAATGCAAATGAAGAAAGCTGTCACAGCATCAAGTTACTTACAAATACAACCACAAGTCCTACTTTGTTTCTAAACAGCGATGCTTGATACAACAAAAGTTAGGCCATAATGAAGAAGATAATTACAAAACACCAGAGCAGGCCATGGTAAGAATGATGCCAACACTTCTCACTTACTGTATCCAAACATTTAATTAAGACTATATATTTTTTTAATTCAGAGAGAAAAATCTTAAGAAGCTTAAGAATTTCAAGAAAATAATCTTTTCGTGATTTAATAAATGAAAAATTCTTATATCACTAAGAAGTTCTAACAAATCTTAAATGCCATGGTTTAGGAATGTATTATCCAATTTTTGCAAATATAAAAAATCATCTGGGAATTCATTTTCTTTTAAGCATGTATATGCTTTCCCCCTATTAAACATACATATTAAAGGAGAACTGGTCTTTCATAGAAAACTGATAAATTAGATTACTATCTCTAATAATTAACTGAAAAATTATCAATATGGGAAAACTTCTTATAACACTTTAAAAACCAATAATATAAAGTATGTAAGAAAGCAGAAAAGGAGTTCCATTGTGGTCACCTTCAAATCAGGACTCAAGAATAAAACTTTCTATAAGCAAAACTTCACTTAAGGATTCCTATTAAAACAAGTGCAAAAGCAAGTTTTTCTTTTCAGTATTTATCCACATTTGCATTTCAGTTACGCAAAAAAAATATGCAAACCAAAGTTTTTAGAACTATGGACAAATTTATATTGGCAAACCACTTATATAGCATGAGGGTCAGGGAATCAAAAATATATCAGCCATGTAATGGTTAAATGAGTTCTTCCACATTAACTAGTAAAGACTAAATCAGAACGTATGAACTATTCACATTATTCACTTGGTGACAATTTTATGCTTAAAGAATTCACATTTTTTTTATTTAAAACAGGGAACGTGACCACGCATTTTTCTAATTAACTACCAACATGTTTACAGTTTCATTTAAATTATAAACTTTCTTTAATCTGTCATGAAAATGTGACCGTAATGTTATAGAGTGCAGTTTTACCTACTTTTGACATGAGGAAGATATATTTATTTATGTTTCAGGGGTAAAAATAAAATTTAGTTTTTAAAAATGTATACAGAGGCCTTTGATAATGACCTGAGAATTTTCACATACTTGAAGAGTAGTTGTGAATCTGCCTTTATTCATTTGCTGAGTTATTTCCTTGTTACATTAAGCGGAAAGCAGGAATGGTTCCAATATATCCAAAAGATGACTGGATTTTTTTCAGACTCAAAAAATGAGGAGGCTTTTTTGTTTGGTTGGATTTCTTTTTTCCTTTCAAGTTCAAAAACGAGGTAAAGGGACACAATTTCCTCCATCAACACCATTACCAAGATTTTTTTTTTATTAAAAATTGGGCAAATCTTTATAGATCAAGGAGCATTTCCCATCTTCTTGATGGACTTTGGATAGTAATCACAATCTCTACGGTACTAGGTTTCTTCACATAAATGTTCATGTTGTAAATGACTTTAGAGTATTGCATGCTCTGCTCAAATTAGATACTGCCTACCTCTGTCTCTGTCTCTGTCTCTGTGTCTCTCTCTCTCTCTCACACACACACACACCAGGGAAAATTTGTGAGGCTCATTCAGGGCATAGCCCATTCCCTTTCCTGCTTTGCTGGGTTTCCTGACCTCAGGGAAAAAAGAGGCACAACTTAATCCTGGGGGAACTGCTTAGTTTTCTCATCCTTCCAGGATTCATAGGCTAGTTCCTCCCCCACTGCAATCTGGAAGTGGTGGATTCCCTCTTGACTAACCAAAAGGAGACCACTGGCTGTCCTCTCCCTAATCCTACATACCCTAAAAATCCCACAGCCATCCCTACCTACCAGGAGTCAGGTGGTGTTGGGGAGGAAGAGCCAATGATATGAATCAAATAACCCATAACACCTAGGGTGCCAGGGACAAGCAGGAGAAGACTGGGGTAAGGTTCCCTGGGGAGGTGTGCACTAGCGAGTGGGCACCTCCTTCAAGAGCCATGACTGATCTGCGAGGGGCAGCTGAGGGTGACAGTAGGTGTCAGGAGAACTGCTAGCCTGGCCTTTCTCCAGGCGTGCGGGGGAATCCCAGGGCGGCGGGGGCTCTGGGGGAGTCCCCCGCCTCCTGCGCCCTCGGCGCGCCCCCTCGGCCACCTCCCCGGCCGCCACCCCCGCCCGGCGCGGGAGGAAGCGCCGGGCTCCCCCCACGCTCTCCAGCTCTCTCGCGAGTCCTGTGCAGGCCCTTCCAGGGGGGAGGGGGAAGGGGCGCGAAGGGAATTGCTGCAATGAAGCGCCGAGAAAACCTTGCCGGAGCGAGGCAGTCGGTGGAAAGCCACGGCCACATAAAAATGCCATATTTATGTTTTAAAAGCCATAAATCACCCCTCCCACTGCAAAAGAAAACCATAAACCCGATCCCATGCACGCCTGCGAGCAGCCACCCACTTCCTATTTCTGTCACAGCAGCTACACCCTACCAGCAACCACTACCCCCCCTCCAGGGCGCCCCCACCTACCACTGCCGCCCCCGCCGCCGCCTCCTCACGGCTCAGCCATTTGCCAACTGACGCCCCCATAAATAAAAATGCCTCTGGAGGCCCTGGGTGGGAGGCCTGGGGGGAGGCTGCAGCGGGGGAGGGGGGTGCGAGGATTGCACAATATCCTAGAAGGTCCGCGGCTGGAGCGGGGAGTGAAGAACCCCGGGCGGGGGAGGGGAGGCGAGCAGCCCGGGCGCCTGCGGCACTCAGTGCACCCGGGCGACCGCGGCGCGCCGCTTACCTTTCACCACCCTGTCCGTCGTCGACAACTTGGGATCAATTGCCTTGGGCTCGGACATCTCCAGCCGCCAGGGGACAGCGACGCGCTGCTTGTCCGTCCGACTGCACACCCCGACCGGACTGGCGGGCCAGACACTCAATGCCGCCGCTGCCGCTGCTGCCGAGCTGCAAACCGCTCGGCTGGATCTCTGGGCTCTGAGCTGGCTTTAAAGTTACTGCCTTCTCCGCGCGTCCCTCCTCCGCCTTCACTCCTCCTCTGCTGCCGCCTCCAGCCCCACCGACTCCGCTCCGGGCTGCGCGTGTGAGCTGGTTATTTATTTAATTTCTAAGCACGCCTCTCGGTTCTTCTCTTATTCTGGGGGGAGGAGGGATGGAGGAGGAGAATGCACACCCGAGAACCCACCCCGGCACAGAGTCCGGGCACCACGGAATGGAGCCCCACGCGCGCACACGGCCGGGATTAAGACCGATCACATGGGGAGGGTCGGGGGCGAGGGAGGAGAGGCAGGGCCGCCAATGTCAGTGCCACCAGCCGCGCCTCAGCGTCCCCGGCGGCGGAGAGGCGGCCGCCGCTGCTGCTGCTGCCGCTGCCGCTGCTGTTGCTATTGCCGCTGCTGCTGCTGCCGCTGCTGCTGCTGCTGCTATGTTGTTGTTGCTGCTGCTGCTGCTGCTGTTGGTGGTGCTGCTGCTGCTGCTGCCGCTGCTTCCCCACACCGCGCGACGCCGCTGCCGCTGCCGCTGCCGCTGCTGCCGCTGCCGCCGCCGCTACCAGAGACGTCCCGCGGCCGTGCTCACCCGCGCTTGCCTCTGCCGCCTCGCGCTGCTCCTTCACTCGCACAGGCACAGCCGCGGAGCTCGGCAGACACAGTCCCGGCGCAACCTACCCTCCGCCGCCGCCGCCGCTGCTGCCGCCACCGCGCCCGCCTCCGCCTCCTCCCCTTCCTCCTCTCGGCCCCCGCCTCTTGCGCTCTGGCAGCCACCTCCTCCTCTGGGCCGGCCCCCAGCCTCCCGCCCCGACGTCGGAGAACCTGGCGCTGATTGGCTTTGGCGCGCGTCACTCAGCGCCAGGTGGAGGCCTGCGGGCGGGCTCCTCCCGCCTCTCGCTCCGCCTCCCTGTCTCTGTTTTCCCGGGGTGGCCAGTCCTGTGGGCCTGCCACCTCCACCGCCCAGACCCTGCTCAGGTGTCACCGCGGCTGGACAGCCAGACTTAGGGAAGAAGAAAGAGGCAGGGGTAGCCCTTGCAGGAGCGGGGCTCTAGCGTGCCACCCCCTACCCTCCTCAATCTGGTCTCCGCCCCGCAAACCCACAGACACCCCCGCGATTCTTTGGCAACTGTGCCGGAGCGGCTGGGTTCAGCCGCAGTGTGAGTAGCCAAGTGCAGAGGGTGATTCAGAATGTGTGCTGGCCCGAGACAGGGCAAGAAGAAGGAGGTGGCGAGGAGGGGAGGCGTGGGGGTCGAGAGGCGACCCCGGGAGGGCGGGGGAAGAAGAGCGCAGGGAGCTCAGGGACCCGTGGCGCAGCTGCTGTCGTCGCTGCCGCAGCTGTCCAGGGAGGATCGCCAAAACAGCGAAGAATAAACAACTTACCTTGGGGAAACGGGCTCCGCCCTTTGAGAGGTGTGCAAATAAAGATACAGATTCTCTGCATATATGGATGCTTTTGTATTGGCTTTTTTATGCTTGTTATTGTTTACCTCTCATGCATACACACCTTCCAAGGAATTAAGTGGTTGCTTCCGAGTTGTCAGGGCCAGCAACGTGGAGGAGGGTGCAGGGCGCAATGGAACTCTGGAGCGGACTATCCAAGGAGGATGAGACAGGAGTCCCAGTGACTCCAGGCAATGGGCAATTCTGAGTCATCCGGGAAGCCCTGCGGTCTCCAGGAATAAATGAGGGAGCAGGAGAAGTTAAAGAGGGTCTCCTTTCTCCAGTTCAAACATGCAAGCAACCACTGTTCAGTGCAGGTCACACCATGTCTTCTTTCCCTGCTTTACTCAATCACCTGACACCTACTTGGTGTTCCTTATGCCCGCAGGGCCTTGGAGCCCCAGGCAGATTCCCTAACAGTTGCGTTCCCTTGGAAGGAAAGTAAAGGAGAGAATAGAAGAGAGAGTGAAAGTAGGGCAAGTGCTCCTTTCTGACGCTTTAATGGAGCCAAGGAATTTGGGGTGGGGGGAGGGTGCCCCATCAGCCAAAATGTCACCACCCCCACCCTCTTTCCTGATCCAGACCAACTCCTCACCCAAGTCCAGGCAAGGAGACTGATGCTTCTTTGGGAAGAATGAGGGACACTGAAAAAATTTCTCACCCACCACTCTTCTTGTTTTATTTCCAAATTCCTTAAACATTGCATTATTCCTTTTTTTTTTTTTTTTCGGAAAAGAAGCATCAGTATGATGGGCAGAATAACATTTAGGGAGGTAAGAGAACTGCCTTCAGGAGACATATTTGGAAACAGGGATTAGGTTAAAGTTCAAACTAGTAAAGTGTCAGGAGCCAACGGATGATGCTGGAGCAAGAAGTGCTAAGGCCTACAAGAAGAAGCAGCACACACTAGAAGGTCAGTAGGCTTTTGTGGAGGCATCCAGCAAAAGGAGACTTGATATAGTTGTGTCCCACCAACACAGGGAAACTCCCACTGCTCCCCAGATTCAGAAGAGCAATTAATTCTTAACCCCAGAATAGAGTGAGGACGACAATTTATCAAATAACTATTCATCATGCTTCTTTTGTGTAACAGAGCAGTAGGTCAGAATAGGAGGTAATTAGAAAATGATCCTTGGCCTCAAGAAAGCCTAGAGTCCAGTAGAACTCTCAGAGAATAGAAAAACATAAACTCTGAGTGGCCACAGTATCTCTCAGGAAGGAGTTGTTGAAAACAGCCTCCTGAGCCTGGGCAGAGCTAGTTGCTGAGGCAGATTTGGGCAGTTGGTCCATTGCCAGATGGCACACAGCAAAGGCGGAATGCCAAGACCTGTGGGTGAAGAGAGCCTGCTTGGGGAAAGAGCAGGAAACCACGTCCAGGGATGCTCACTTGTAAGGCCAAGACACTCTTTAACATGTCACCTTGCCAGCAAGGAGTTAGTTCCATAGTAAATTGGACCAATATTCACCAGGTGTTGGAAACACACCTTTGACCCAAGACCTATGTCTGCACCAAAGTGTTAGGATATAAGTAGGAAATAAAGACACACCTTTCAGACACACCCTTCAGTCCACTACAACTGTAGGAAACCTTCTACTTAAGGTATGTTTGTATAAGGGGAAAAAATGATGACTCATAATCACTTCACTACATATTATTATCAGGTACTCGAGTGTTTTTGTGTATATAATTCTGTAACTTACAACCGAGATCATTGGTCTAAAGAAAAAATAGTAGCATTTTAGCTAGAGACTAGTTCTAGTGGCATATTCCATATAGAGGCCTGTGTATTGCCAACAACAACAACAACGAAGCCATTCTTCTCAGGCATAATCAACCATCCACTCCTTGGGAGAAAAATGGCCAATCTTCTCCTGTACTAGTTACAGCCCTGAAAAACTGCTGGAGGGTCAGCTATAAGGGGGCAACAACTTAAAAATCAATGAGAAGGAGAAGAGAAAGTTTTATCCTTTGCTTGAACTGAAACAATCAATTTTTCTTATTCAGATAACTCTTTTTTGATACCCTATTATTGAATTTTGTTTTATTTGACTCCTGTTTAGATTGTCCATTGTGTTATAGCATAAGGTTAACTAACAGATAGCATAAGGACTACTAACAGAAAGGTGTAAGATTTTAGTCCACCTAACTTATCTACCAATGAAAAACAGCTGGCATGAAAATTACAGGTAAGTCAAAGAAAGTTTACTGTCTATCAAAAATTGGTGGTCCTTCCTTCCTAGGGAACAGTTCTTTCTGGAATGCATTGTAGGGATTCCAGTTCTCAGCTTTTTCTGCCATATTCTCAGCAGTACCATGTCTCCAGTTGGATGAGGTCATTTGCACACCAAGGCAGTTAAGCAATAGAGTATTATTCTCCAGCCTATTGGTTCCTATGGTTCATATTGTCTAACTGAAAGCAGGAGCTTCCAAGATCTTGGATCATGCAGGACCAAAAGATGGAAAGAAGCAAGCCCTGATTCACCACATGAAACAGTACTATCCACCTGCTAGCTGTAAAGTCTGCATTAAATTTTCATGTGAATAAAAAAGAAACTCACTATATTACTGTATTTAAAATTATATTTGTTATAGTAACTAGTTTACCCAAATAATACATAAGATCATTTATTCTATGGGTTAAGAATATTAAATCCTTGGTAAAATCCAAAATTATTGTTTCACTGTTTATTAACACTACCAGAAAACTAAAAATATCCTTTTTATAAATGCATGAGCATCAAATCTTAACTTTTCATTAATGAATTATTCATGTACCAGTTGCAATTCAAACACCTGTTCTGCACAAGGCACTGTGATAGATGATGCATAAATGTGTGGATAAAGAAGTGTTCAAAGATTTAATGTCTTAGTTCAATGGTTTTAGAGTCTTATTATACATTAATTATACACATTATCTTTAAAAACTTAAATATTACATGATACTTTCTCTTGCTGCTACAAGGATGTTGTTGTTATGTGCCGTCGAGTCGCTTGCAACTCGTAGCGACCCTATGTACAACAGTCTTAAACCCTGCTCTATCCTGTGCCAGTCGCACTGCCTCTGACACACCCATCCCGATTACCCCAGTCACCGAATCAATCCATCTCATAGAGGGTCTTCCCCTCCTGCGCTGTCCCTCCACCCTCCCAAGCATGATGTCCCTCTCCAAGGACCTATCTCTCCTTACAACATGTCCAAAGTATGTCAGACGAAGCCCCAGAATCCTTGCCTCCAAGGGGTAGCCTGGTTTAACCCTCTCCAGGATGAATCTGTTTGTTTTCTTGGCAGTCCAGGGTACATTCAATACCCTTCTCCAGCACCACAGCTCAAAGGCATCAATTCTCCTTCTACCCTCCCTAGTCATTGTCTAACTCTCTGATGCATAACAAGTAATTGCAAATTCTATTGTCTGTATCAGACGCACCTTATTCTCCAGAGGCACACCATTGCTCTTGAGTACTTTAGAGAGGTCCCTAACAGCAGGTTTTCCCATCGCAATATGTTTTTCCTGGCTGCTGGTACCAAGAGTGTTGACTGTGGAGCAGAGCTA